TGATGAAGTTGAATATACTATCTCCTAATAATAGAGATACAAGATAGCGGGTGGGGCCGCGAGTACCCTGGCATTGATTGATAGAAGTAAATTCGGCCAGACGGACCGTGTTTGAGTTGTTGAGAGCTCCACCTGTAAAAACTTATTCAAGAAATAAAAAAAAAAAAAAAAATTCTTACATTCAGTCTGTTATTCTAACTTTTTTTTCTCTTTACTAAATTTCAACACTGTAATTAAACTGAATAGTGAGAGATTATAACTGTAATAGAGAAAATTAAAAATATAAAAAAATATATATATAATTAAATTAATTAATATAATATTATTTTATAAAAAATTATAGTATTAAAGAAATCAGATTTGTAATATAATATAAATAAAATTAAATGTTTTTTTATTCAATTATACTTATAAACTATAAAATTATATTAATATTATAAGTGTATTTATTATTTATATTAAATAAAAACTATTAATATTTTAATATATAAGTATTTAAAAATTAATTCACTAACAAACTAAGAAAATAAACTGAATTAAAATAAATATCTTAATTAAAATGAAAACAATTCTTTAAAAGAAAACATTTTCACAATTATACAGACTATATTTATTAATTAAAAATCAATTTCCTTCTTTAGATATTAAGAAAATTGAACATGAAAAAATATATTCAGAGAAAAAAGCTGAAATCTTTCATAAATATACAAATAAATATACTGTTTAAAGAGAAAGAATATAAACAATATTTGAAAAAGATTTTTATAATTAGTATAAAAGAATTAATCTTAATTTATTCAGATAACTTAAAAAATAAAAATAAGAATTTGAATAAATTAAATGCAGGTATTATTTATACTGAAGATAATATAAGATTTAAAAAGTTTAAACAGTAAATGTAAAGTTTTTATTACTGAATTATTTACAATAATAAAAGCTTTTAAGTAGATTGAATTATAATTGTTATACTGAATAGATCAGTATTAATATATAGATCTTATATAATAAAAGTAAAAAATATTAAAGAAGAAGAAAAAGAGAAAGTATAGAAATCAATGATTAAAGTGAATATTTATATATATACAAGATAAAGCTTCAGAATGAAAGAATAGAAATTTCATAAGTTCTTTAATCAGAGATCAGTGACTGAGAATCAGAGCTTTAGTAGAAATCTATAAAGTGTAATAAAATAGTCTATATAATTAATTAGATATAGTCTGTCACATTAACTCTCTCTTTTCAGAAGTGAGATTGTATGTAGTTTAGACTAACTATGTAATCATGTCTGAGATCAGAATTAGAATATTTGATAATCTTATTATCCATTTAACTGATCTTATTACACAGTTTTAAGATTAGATAGTAGTCTTATACTGTCTCAGTGAAACTTACTGTCTACTCTTATTACATTTTTCAAATAAGATTATAATTTTCACTTCTTAATTTAAATTCTTTTTATTGCTTTAAATGACTTTAAATCTTATTTGAGTATTATCAAAAAGTGTTACTTTTTAAAAAATTAAAAATAGTCTAAAAAAAACCTTAAAATGTCTAAAAATAGTAACTTTATACTAAGAATAAGACTAAATAAAATTAAATGAGCTCACTTTCTCATTTTTTCTAAGTCATAGTCTTATTTTGAGAGCTGATAAATAGTCACTTTGTATGTTTTTTTAATAATTAATCTCAGTAGAATTCATGTCAAGAAATATATAAGATCAGATTAAATGAGATTAAATGTAAAATTCATAATCTCAGCAGTCAGTCTAGTGTAGTTCTCATCAGTTAAGAGCTGCTGTTTTAGATAATACAGAGCTCAGAGTTCAGATCAGATAATTATAACTAACTTATTTCATAAGATATTATCAGCTGCAGCTAGACTGACTGTCAGAACTATGAATTTCACATTTAATCTCATTTAATCTGATCTCATACATTTCTTAGTGTGAATTCTGCTGGGACTAATCATTAAAAAAACATGCAAAGTGACTATATATCAAATCTCAAAATGAAATCATGACTTAGAAAAAATAAGAAAGTGGTCTCATTTAATCTCATTTAGTTTCATTCTTGACATAAAGTTACTATTTTTAAACATTTTAAGGTTTTTTTTAGCCTATTTTTAATTTTTTAAAAAGTAACACTTTTTGATAATACTCAAATGAGATTTAAAGTCATTTAAAGCAATAAAAATAATTTAAATTAAGAAGTGAAAATTATAATCTCATTTGAAAAATGTGATAAGAGTAGACAGTAAGTCTTACTGAGATAGTATGAGATCACTATATAATCTTAAAACTATGTAATGAAATCAGTCAAATTGATAATAAGACTATCAAATATTCTGATTCTAATCTCAGACTAGACTGATCATGTGACCGTGTCTGAAACCAGAATCAGATTTTTTAATAGTTTCATTATCAATTTGACTGATGTCATTACATGGTTTTAACATTAGATAGTAGTTTCATACTGTCTCAGTGAAACTTACTGTCTACTCTTATCACATTTTTCAAATGAGATTATGATTTTCACTTCTCAATTTAAATTATTTTTATTACTTTAAATGACTTTAAATCTCATTTAAGTGTTATCAAAAAGTATTACTTTTTAAAAAATTAAAAATAGTCTAAAAAAACCTTAAAATATCTAAAAATAGTAACTTTATTTCAAGAATGAGACTAAATGAAATCAAATAAGATCACTTTCTCATTTTTTTCAAGTCATGATTTCATTTTAAAATCTGATATATAGTTACTTTGTATGTTTTTTTAATGACTAGTCCCAGCGGGATTCATGTCAAGAAATGTATGAGATCAGATCAAATGAGATCAAATATGAAATTCATGGTCTCAGCGGCCAGTCTATCTCAGACACGGTCACACGGTCAGTCTAGCTGCAGCTGCAGAGTCTCTTATTAAGAATATCTTTAATCTCTTATTTAAGTTCATTATCTTCTTCTATAATCTCTGATGACTGTCAGTTGAAAGTCAGTTAAAAAGAGAATGAGTCAGTAATAGTGTGATAAAGTAAGCTTATATAAAAGACATTATGAATTTCTGATAATATATCAAGATAATAGTTATAACTGTCTAGAACTTCTATCACTTTGTATTTAGTATAACAGTAATTCAATGTATGAGATGAGTGTATAATCTATATATTCTTAAGATTTAATTATATTAGATCTTCTATCTTATATTACTCAGTGAAGTCTTGATAAATATTAATTTAATTTTCTTAATTTTATTTAGTGCTTGTTATGAAGACTTCTGTTCAGTCATGAATATTCAAGAGCTTTATTACTATATTATCAGTGATCTGAATCAGACTGCAGAGATTCAGTGTGAAATGTATAATCTCTAGAAGATTCAATATCTTTATATAATAACTGTGTATAAGAAAGAATAAGCTTATATCTGTTGAAATAACATTCTAATCATTGATAGCAATCTCTGTATATAGAAGAAGGTCATATCAAGCATCTTATAAATAATTATAGAACTTATAAAGATAGTTCTTTATAGTCTGAATTATTCATTCTGATATATTATCAGTCTCAGAGTGATAAAGAGTTAATAAATAATACATAATATTGAGAACTTGATAGATTTTTATTCAGAGAGTACTTATAAATTAACAGCTCTGATCAGATACTATAGATCTCAGTAAGTTATATATCTGATAGAATGAACTCTGTAAGAAAACTTCAGTGACTTATTTAATATTTCTTTTATTACAAGATTTCAATATTACATCTTTACTCAATCAGTCAATAATAATCAGAATGTTCTTACAACTCTTACTCTTAGAGAGATTAATAGTAAAGTTAATTACTATATCTTATCAGATTCTATCAGAGATATTAAGTGATTTCAGTAGATCTTTTCTATAGTTCTTTTATAAGATAATAGAAGAATAATAATTACAGTTTCAGATAAAATATCTGATACTGTTTAATATCTCAGATCAGTAGAACTCTTAAGAGATTATTTAATATAGTTGTTCACAATCTGAATAATCAGTTATATATAAATCATATATCTCTTGTATTATCTGAGTATATAAGAGTTCAGACTGAGAGACTCAGTATTATTCACAGAATTGCAGAGTGTTATTATTATTGATTAAGTATTCTGAGATATTGATTCTTATACATAGTTCTGAGAGAAATCAGAGTGCTTCTTGATATACTGCTTTAATAAGCACTTGAAGAAGTTCATCAGTTTAAGCTGCTGTATATCATAATTCATTCAGTATAGATTTAAGAGAAGAGAGTGTTCTAATCAGAGAAGTATATATAGTGTTATGAGTTATTTTATTATAATTAACTAGTATTTTCAGATTCAAAAGTCAGTACTCTCAGTTTATTCAGTGAGTGTCTGTTACATTGAAAGATATATCTTACTCTTATTATAAGAGAGTATCTGTTATCAAGTTCTGACTGTCAGAGTGATAGTGTATAGTGAAATAAAAACCGCTTAATAGCTCAGATTATCACATCTGTTCTTTAGTAAGCTTATAAGTGAT